GTTTGGATATGTTGAATTTGTGAAGACAGTGGGCATTAGGTGAGGTTGTTCAGGAAGTTGGCTCAAGGATAAACTTGGTTGGGGCTGGCGTTGTGGTGCAGAGGATTAAGCCGCCTGCAATGCTGGCATCCCATATGAGCACTGGTGAGTTCTGGCTGCTGTGCTTCCAATGCAGCTCCCTCCTCCTTTCTGTCTCCCTTTCTGTCACCCTGCCTATCAAATAAATAAATAAAAAAAAAAGATCTTAAAGTATAAACCTGGAATTCAGAGAGTTCATGGCCAATGAGACAAAGCTGTGGGCTACTTTATTGCAGTCAGTTATGGAGTTCACAGTTAGAACTCTCTTCACAGGGAGAGTTGGGATTAAGCTGGCGTGGAGAAGGAAGGTGGGGCTTGCAGTCCAAGCACAGGAAGGAGCTCGTGTGTGCCCAAGGGGCCACAAGCAGGTGAAGCAACAGAACCTGGGAGGGACAAGGAGAACCTGAGTGCAGGGAGAGGAGGGATCACTAAGACCACTTATTTTTTTTTTAAAGATTTATTTATTTATTTGAAAGTCAGAGTTACACACAGAGAGAAGGAGAGGCAGAGAGAGAGAGAGAGAGAGGTCTTCCATCTGCTGGTTCACTCCCCAATTGGCCACAATGGCCGGAGCTGCACCGATCCGAAGCCAGGAGCCAGGAACTTCCTCTGGGTCTCCCATGCAGGTGCAGGGGCCCAAGGACTTGGGCCATCTTCCACTGCCTTCCCAGGCCATAGCAGAGAGCTGGGTCAGAAGTGGAGCAGCCAGGTCTCAAACCGGTGTCCATATGGGATGACAGCATTGCAGGCGGCAGCTTTACCCACTACACCACAGCAGCAGCTCCAAGACCACCTTTTTAATATGAAAAACTTCAAGTGAATTAAAAATAAAGAGGAGGGTAGAAATTTGGCCTAGTGTTAAGATGCTGGTTGGGTGCCTTTGTTGCACACTGAAATGCCTCCGAAGTTTGATTCCCAGCTCTGGGTCCCCATTCCAGCCTCCTGGGGGGCAGCAGTGATGGCTCAAGTAGTTGAGTCCCTGCTGCGCATATGGGAGACCTGGATTGAATTCCTGGCTCCTGGCTCTGGCTGTTGTGAGCAACAGGAGGGGGGGGGGCAGTGAACCAGCCAAAAGGAGCTCTCTGTCTGTTTCAAAAATATTAAAAATATATAAATAAAATAAAATAATTAGCACCTGTGTACCCGTCACCCAGAATCAACCATTATTGTCTCAGGACTAATGTTGTCTTATTTATAATTACATACCTACTCCTCCTTGACTTCTGATTGAACTGTTTTTAAGCAGAATGTATTTTTGAGAAGCTGACATTTAAGTTATAACTTAAATGTTTGATGATAAGGAAGCAGCAATTTGGAGATTTTTTTTTCCCCAGGGGACTGGCATTTGATTAAGATGCCACTTGGATGCCAGCATCCCCTATGGGAGTGCCTGTGCTCCATTCCAGCGTCCTGCTGTCCTGCTAATGTGCACCCTGGGAGGCAGCAGTGAGAAATATTTGGATCCCCTGCTACACCCGTGGGAGACTCCGATGAAGCTCCCAGCTCCCAGCTTCAGCCTGATCCAGCCCCAGCTGTGGGAGGCATTTGGGTAGTGAACCAGCAGATTGGGAGACCTCTGTCTGTCTGGCTTTCAAATAAATAAATAAATAAATAGATAGATTTTCAAGCAGAGCATTCCACATAGAAGGAAAAGAAATGTGATAATTCTGAGATTGGAACAGACTTGAATTTCTTGAGACACCAAACTGGATCAGAGTGACTGTAGTGGGGAAAGAAGGAGGAAGCCTTAGCGATGAAGTCAGAGAGGTAGACTGGGTCGATCATGGAGACCTTGGGGTCATAGTAAGGAGTCTGGGCTTTAGTCAGCTGACTGTTGGAAGCCCTTTAAAGTACAGGCCCCTGGTTTTTCTCTTTGAGAAATTCCCTATTGCTGCTCTTTGGAGGAGAGAGCGACAGGAGGCCAAGTGTGGAAGAAGCCTGGACAATTGGAGGATTTTGCAGAAGCCCAGGGGACTTGATGGTGGCCTGGAGTGGGGTTTTAGCAATGGACATCAGGAGAAGCAGTCAGAGTTAGGATGTATTTTGGAGGGGACGTCAGTTGGATGTGGCCTCTAAGGGACAGAGAGGAAACAAGATTGACTTCCAAGTGTCTGGCCTGAGCAACTGGAAGATGGTGACACTATTTAACCAACAGAGAAAGTCAAGGAGATGGAAGGGGTTTGGGGATGGAGGTGACAAAGCAAGGGTTAAGTCTGAGGTGGTTTTAGATGTCTAAGTGGAGAAGGTGAGATCTGCCTGGTCATCAGTTTGACGCAGGGCCAGGGACAAACTTGGGAGCTGCGTAGGTGTCTTCACTTTGTCGTTCAGAGCCAGTCTCTGTCCTTTTCTACCCTGTGCTGAGCCCAGGAATCTGGCTGTAGTGACTACGTCAACAGGCTCATCTTGTGGCTTCTGTTGGGTTTGGCTAATAAGCCCTGGAGGGAAACCTGGAGGGAAGAGGGAAGCCAGTGGGGTTGGGCTATGTGTTTCTTTGGCCCCTCTCTGGGTAACATCACTGAGGGATGACTACATTTTTTTTAAAGATTTATTTATTTATTTGAAAGGCAGAATTACAGAGAGGCAGAGGCAGAGGCGGCAGGGTTCGGGGGGAGGTCTTCCATCTGATGGTTCACTCCCCAAATGGCTGCAATAGCCAGAGCTGGGCCAATCTGAAGCCAGGAGCTTCTTCCAGATCTCCCACTTGAGTGCAGGGGCCCAAGGACTTAGGCCATCTTCCACTGCTTTCCCAGGCCGTAGCAGAGAGCTGGATCGGAAGAGGAGCAGCCGGGACTTGAACCAGTGCCCATGTGGGATGCTGGCACTGCAGGCGGTGGCTTTTCCTGCTACACCACAGCACCAGCCCTGGGATGATTGTCTTTCAAGCAAAGACCCCAGCTCCTGTCTTCAGATTTCCATAACTGTGCCGCATATTCTTTTCCCCATTGAGGTCTAGAGGTGACAGTGTGCCTTAGTGATATCAGTCCAGTAGTACTAAATTGTCCCTCATGATTCCCCTAAGTTCTGCCCTGGAGAATGTCCTCTAAAAAGTCCTTTTATTAAACTCTTCCCATGACCCAGTTTGATGGTGCCATACACTGCCAAGATCCTGACTTAGGCTGGAGACATTGGCATACAGACAATAATAGAGCTGTGGACTTGAATGAGAGCAACCATGGGAATGAAAAGACAGAGCTGGGGGCACATGAGCTTTCAGAGTTGGGCGGGAGCAGAGGCCCTTCTGGCAGGAGTTGAACCAGATGAAGGTGCAGTCACCAGAGACCAAAGAAGAAAGCACACCCAGAAAGAATTTGACTGAAGGTCACTGAGAGGTCAGGGAAGGTAGAAACCCAGAGAACCACCACTGATCTAGTCGTGAGGCTCAGCTGTCATTGTCCTGCCGCTGGCCTAGGATGTCCGGGGTCTTGGTTGCTCTGCCTCTGGCTTAGCGTCTCCTCCTCCAACTCCCTGCCAGGCACCGGCTCTTCAGCCTCTCAAAGGCTCTGGCCTGGGTGGTCTCCAGGGCCCTTGCTGTCAGTATTCACAGTGGATATGTTCATCCCCAAGGTAAACATTGCATTAGTGAGTCCTGAACCACTGCTTATAGAGGAAAATCAGGGTCAGCTCCCATGCACCTCTGGTCACAGTATTGTCCTCAGCCGATCAATGCATAACCTTGTTCTGTGTGTGTTTCTTATTTGATACATGTGGTTAATTCATGAGCAGTGAAGCCATGGCCAAAAGCCCCATGAGTCCTGTGTTAACAAAGCGTATCCAACACATAGATGTTTTCTCCCTGAACTCATCACAGGCTCCTTGGGCTGAGGAACGTCTGACAGCATTTCTGCACTGTGCATAGGGGCTGTTTGAAGCAGAGAGCCCCCCAAGAAAAAGCACAAGGCTAAAAAGTGTGGCACTAAATGGAGTTAAGAAAAAGACTTACTGGGACCGGCGCTGTGGCGCAGCAGGTTAAAGCCCTGGCCTGAAGCACCAGAATCCCATATGGCGCCGGTTCGAGTCCTGGCTGTTCCTCTTCCAGTCCAGCTCTCTGCTATGGCCTGGGATAGCAGTGGAAGATGGCTCAAGTCCTTGGGCCCCTGCACCCATGTGGGAGACTCGGAAGAAGCTCCTGGCCTTGGCTTCGGATCAATGTGGCTCCAGCCATTGCGGCCATCTGGGGAGTGAACCAGTGGATGGAAGACCTCTCTCTCTCTCTCTGCCTCTCCTTCTCTCTGTGTGTAACTCTGTCTTTCAAATAAATAAAATAAATCTTAAAAAATAAAAGGACTTGCTAATAGTACTTACCTCACAGGGCTGTTGCAAGAATTAAGTGAGTGAAGTCATATGAGTGACTTAGGATGCTGTCTGGGAGTAAGCACTTTGTGTTAGCTGCTGTTATTTTTGTCCCTTTTGTCTCTATCACTGGAAACCCTGCGATGTGCATGAAGGCTTCCTCTGCCGGTTCACTCCCCAGATGGCCACAACAGTCCAGGCTGGGCCAAGTCAAAGCTAGGAACTGGGAACTCTCTCTCCAGGTCTCTTGCATGGGTGGCAGGGACTCAAACACGTGAGCCTCCCAGTGTCTGCATCAGCAGAAAGTTGGGTTGGATGTACAGGTCTCAATCCAGGTGCGGCGTCCCAAGCAGTGGCTTCACCCACTACTCCACCATGCCTGAGCTATACAACTGTATTTTAAACACCCACCCTCCCCACCCTACCCCCCCAAAAAAACCCAACAACTCCTGGTACATAATGCAGAGACTGTTTGGATTTTGATGTTTCCTTCCAGTGTTTGTCCATAAGAACACTTTTCCGTATGCTCCCCATTCTAACTTTATGCACTATCGTTTGGCATTTTGCTTTTACCTTGAGATTATCTTGCAACAGGTGTTCATTTTCCAAGTGTCCATATCCCCTTCATTCAGACCCGTTTCCATGACTATCATGATTGAAGAGAGGGAGGAGGCCTCCTCTGTTGTGACCTCAGCAGCCACTCAGTCCTTTCCACCCTGCGTCTGCCCAACCCGCTGCTGGAGAGACAGTGACCAACACTCACGGACTGTTTGTTGGGGTCAAAGCATATGGCATGGCTGGTATCGTGTGATTTTTCAACCTCGTATATGTCAGGTAAGTATTTTACAGGTATTAGCTCATTTAATACTGAAAGCAACCTAATGAGAGAGTGGTATTATCATCACGCCCATTTATGTCCAAGGAAACAGACAAAGAAAAGCTAGATAAATTTTCTGAGATCGCGTAGCTAGCAAGTGGCAGATGCAGGATTTGAACCCAGGAGGTCTGGCTTCTGAGACTGAGTTCTTTTTTTTTTTTCTTTTTTCTGAGATTTATTTTTCTGAAAGGTAGAGTTACACACACACACTCACTCACAGAGAACACTTGCATCTGTTGGTTCATTCCCCAAATGGCCCCAATGTCTGGGGCTGGGCCAGGCCAAAGGCAGGAGCCTGGAACTCCCAGCCTGGTCTCCTGTGGGGAGCAATCCGGACTAGACTGAGTTACTGGAATTAAGACTTATTCTATGCATCTGCTCTCCCACAATATGGCGCTGGGAGAGAAGTAAACAGCTTTTACACAGCTGCCTCCAGTTCAACCAATAAACTGTAGGACTTGCTCCTGATTGGAGGAGAGCAGTGTACTCGGCGTGTGGGCAGCCGAGTTGGGATTGGCAGAGGAGGACTATAAAGGAGGAGAGAGACGGCATGCACCGGGAACATCTAAGGGGAACATCTAGCTGAAGGAACACCCGTGCAGCCCCCGAGAGACCCGGCCGGCGGTGTGCCGCTCCCCTGCGGAAGTGGGGAATGTGGCCAGGGGGAACTGCCCTTCCACGGAGGTGGAAGGGATAGTAGCCAACCCGGGAAGAACCAGCAGCAAACCCGGGGAGGGCCGAGCAGACGAAAGAACAGCGCAGGGTCTTGTGTCGTTCCTCCATGAAGAGGGGGAGCGACAGTCTCCCATATGGATGGCAGGGGTCCAAGAACTTGAACCATCTTCTGCTGCCTTCCAGGTGCATTATCAGGGAGCTGGATCAGAAGTGGAGCAGTGGGGACATTGCCCTTGCACTCATATGGGATTCTGGGGTTGCAGCTGGCAGCCCAACCTGCTGTGCCACAATGCTGGCCTTTGAGACTGGTTTTTAACCACGTCACAGTGATGTCTCTCAAGTATAACCAAAATAACCAAACTCAGTGTTCAGAGACAAGGAGATAAGCTGTCCCACTGGGTAAGACCAGTGCCCTGTGTCCAGTGTCTCCCTCATTTTAGGATGTTATTTAATGTGTTTGTTCTCATTACTCAGTACATGTGACTGCCTGGGCCAGGGAGTGGGCTTGTTCTTCACCACGACATCCCTAGTGCCTTGTACAGAGAATAAAGCAAACATGGCCTTCAGTGTTCACTGAAGGGAAAAAGAGACGGAACATGGAAGGGAGATTACACACAGGAATTGGCACCCATTGGAAAGTCCAGTGAGAGAAATTGCATTAAATGTGCTATTTGACTGGTATGGGACGTTGGGTTTTGAGAACCTGCAAACAGGGTGGGATCATTGACTTCAGGCACCTAGAGTAGAACGTGCCAGAGGGCTGGGTGGGAGCCAGAGATTCTTAGTGTCATTTATTTATTTATTTTTTAAGGTTTGCTTATTTTATTTATTTGAAAGGCAGAGTTACAAAGAGAGAGAGAGAATCTTCTATCTGCTGGTTCACTCCCTAAATAGTCACAACACAGGGCTGGGCAAAGCCGAAACCAGCAGCCAGGAGCTTTATCTGGGTCTCCCACATGGGTGCCAGGACCCAAGGACTTGGGCCATCTTCCACTCTTTCCCAGGTGCATTAGCAGGGAGCTGGATCAGAAGTGGAGCAGCTGGGATGCCTGGTGCTGCAGGCAGCAGCTTTACCTGCTATGCCACAATGTTGACCTCTCTTAGTCTCATTTAAATGGAGAACTCAGCCTTTGGGACTTGAGCCAGCCTGGATGACGACTGGATAGGAGGGGAGCGCGAGGTAGGAATAAATCCCTACGGGAAAGAGCCCGGGTGTCTGAAACTTCCCTTTTGCCCTGGGAAGCACATGTGCTACAAAGTTACATCTGGAATGGAGGGGTCTGCAAAAACTTCATGGAAAATGTGTATTATGTAAAATCTGCATGTGGATTTCAAAACAGTTTGGCATCAAAATCAGCTTCTATACTTGAAAGATTTTTTTTTTTTTTTAATTTTTTGACAGGCAGAGTGGACAGTGAGAGAGAGAGACAGAGAGAAAGGTCTTCCTTTTGCCGTTGGTTCACCCTCCAGTGGCTGCTGCGGCCGGCACATTGCAGCTGGTGCACCGCGCTGATCCGATGGCAGGAGCCAGATACTTATCCTGGTCTCCCATGGGGTGCAGGGCCCAAGCACTTGCACTCCCTGGCCATAGCAGAGAGCTGGCCTGGAAGAGGGGCAACCGGGACAGAATCCGGCGCCCCGACGGGGACTAGAACCCGGTGTGCTGGCGCCGCAAGGCGGAGGATTAGCCTAGTGAGCCGCGGCGCCGGCGAAAGATTTTCATTTCATTTATTTGAGAGGCAGAGTGACGGGGTTGGGGGTCGGGGGTGCGGTGGAGATCTTAGTGTGCTGGGTCACTCCCCAAATGGTCACAACAACTGGGCCAGGCTGAAGCCAGAAGGCTGGAACTCCATCCGGGTCTCCCACGTGGGTGGCAGGACACAAGCACATGGCCCATCTTCTGCTGCCTCCCTGGATGAGTTAGCAGGGAGTTGGATTGGAAGCAGAGTAGTTGGGATTCAAACTGGTGCTCTGATAGGGTATGCCGGTGTTGCAGGCTCGACTTGCTGCACCGGAACGCTGGACCCAATTTTCTCTCTTTGTTCCATTTTCCATGAACTTCTTGTGATATCCTCCTGCGTCGGACCTGCCTGCCTAGCAGACCTCAGGTCATTGTCTAGAACCTCGGCAGTAGAAACTGCCTTAATGTGCTATCTTGTAGCCCTTTCCATAAGCATTAATACGGCAGCAGCACGCCTGCGGATGCACAAACATCCTTAGGAAAGTGGCTTTTTGCGTCTAGCACTCTGGGACTCATGTTCTTTGAAAGAGTAAGACATAAAAGACTAGGACAGCTCCCGAGGGAGATGAAAGCGTGATTGATTCTGTCATTTCCTGCTTCTGGGACCTTCTTTGCGATTCATTATTTTTTATTTCTCAAAAAGTGAGGCAGTATGTTTCCCTCGCCTCTCACAGTCACCGTGATGATTAAATCAAACCAGGTAGTAAAAGTCCTTGGAAAAGTGCAAAGCACTATAAAATTTAGTTATTACTAATGCCTGTTATTGTATGTGTTAGACAACATAGTCGATGGTAATTGAACCCCATGTTGGTGAATTATCACCTGACCCCCACCCTATCCCAACATTTTCCTAAGCAGTAGTTTCAAAATGAAGTGAGAAAAAACAGTAGCAGTGTATGCATTCATTTTCTATTGCCGCCATAAGAAATTACGACAAACAGTGATTTGAAGCAATATAAATTTATTATTTGATGGTTCTAGGAGTCAGAAGCATGCACGGGGTCTCTCTGGGCTAGCGTGGAAGTGGTGACCGATGTCTGAGCTGTGTGCTGGAGGCTGCCTCCCAGCCTTTGCCAGCTTCCAGGGGCCACCGCTTTCCTTTCTTGTGGTCCTCGGCCTGTGTCTGCACAGCCCCAGGCTGGCTTTGCTCTGTGTCTTTGAGAGTCACCTCTTTCTTGAGCGCCTGCTTTGCTTTTCCACTGTTAATGTAGTCACTCTGGTGACTACATTAGGCTCCCCCAGATAATCCAGAGTAACCTCCCTATTTCTTTTTTAATTTTTAAAAAAAGAATTTAAAGATTATTTATTTGTTTGAAAGACAGAATTACACAGAGAGGTAGAGACAGACAGAGAGGGGGCTGCCATCTGCTGGTTCACTCCCCAAATGGCCACAATGGCCGGAGCTGTGCTGATCTGAAGCCAGGAGCCAGGAGCTACTTCTGGGTCTCCCACATGGGTGCAGGGGCCCAAGGACTTGGACCATCCTCTGCTGTCTTCTCAGGCACATTTCCAGGGAGCTGGAACAGAGTGGAGCAGCTGGGAATGGGAGCACCCATTTGGGATGCCGGCACAGCAGGCCGGCGCTTTAACCCACTGTGCCACAGCTCTGGCCCCTAACCTCCTTATTTTAAAATCAGCCAGTTAGCAGCCTTAGTTCTTGTTTGCCATGTAATTTAGCAAAGTTGTAGATTTTGGTGATTAGGACGTGGACCCTGCTTTTGTGGGGTGGGGGGTGTGTGCTATTATTCTGCCTACCCCAGTATATATATATATATATATATATATATATATATATATATATATACTTTTACAATATATATATATATATCTATCTGGAAAGAACTTTGGTAAAAGCAAAGATGGAAAATCAGAATTCTTCCTAAGTTGTTCCACGTTCCACTGAATGCATCCTAGAGCAGTGTTCTTTTCATGGGAAACCAGCAGCACCTAGTGTCTCTCCACATAAATTTCAACAGCCGCATAAACTGCGTGTCGTCAGGCTCAGTGACTGATGGTTGGGAAAGGACATTCTCACTGCTCAGAGTGGAAATGGTTGGTGATTCCGTCTCCCATATGCTCTGAGCTTTATACTGAGCCCCTGCACCTGTGCATCCGTCCAGAAGTATTGAAATGATTTCCACTTGGGGCATGGTACTGTACTGTGCTCTGCCAGAGAATCAGAAAAATAATAACAGGAGTCCTGCCCTCAGAATGCTTCCAGTTTTACTGGGCAGACAGTACACCCTGGCAATTAAAGCACACGTACCCACCTGCGGAGCACCGAAGGCTTAAAGGCCAGGTGTATAGTTACACTTAGGTTCACTTGTACATATCCTGAAGCTCAGAAATACAGTGACTTCAATAGCAGAGTTTATTTATTTTGTTTTTTTAAAGATTTATTTGAGAAGTAGAGTTATACACAGAGAAAGGGAGAGACAGAGAGAAAGGTCTTCCATCCGCAGGTTCACTCCCCAAATGGCTGCAATGGCTGGAGCTGAGCCAATCCGAAATCAGGAGCCAGGAGCTTCTTCTGGGTCTCCC